AATCCTGCAATCTCTCTCCATGTAAGTAATATGCTACTTTTGTATTCTTCCTGCCAAAGCGGACAAGTTCACATTTTCCCACTTTTTTGCTCCATCTGTCAATTGTTTTAGCAAATCACTTAATGAATCTAAATCCATTTGCGGACTCTTTATCTCCTCTTAATAATTTCGTTTCCTACTAATATGGGGGCAATCAACTAATTTAGCTACCACACATTTGATCCATTCATCCAGGTTATTAATATAGATTGGAAACAGTTGAAACCCCAGCTCTGATCCAGTCCTATTTGCACTAGTTACAGCTCGCCAACCCAAAAAATCACCCATTTGTACCTAAACTCTGCTTTCAATCCTTTATCCAAAGACTGGCAACGCCTTGTTTCTCCCGAGATTTAACTGAACATTTGTTAAATAGTGAATTTAATCTAATCTCTAAACTTTTTATATAGAATCTGAGGGCAAAAAGAACGACAAAAAAACCCTCAAAGAGGTGAAGTTTGTTGAACCTCGAGGCTTCATGTACGAAAATCAGACTCTGCTTGAATCAGCTGTCAATATATACACGGGTTGTGGTAGAAGACAGATTCTAAGAGTTCTACATGTTTTATTTCAGTAATTTCGTAAATTGCAATTTTAGTGCAAATTAACGGAGTTTTGCTTCTAGGAATTTTGCTGCAGCTTATAGAAAAGGGCCTTTTTGTTTAATCTTTAATTTAACCCTTTAACTGTTTAAAAATGAAACCTGACAAATATGCTTCAGAGGTAGTAGGAACTGCAGATGCTGGAGAATCTGAGATAACAAGGTTATCTCAAGGTTATCGGGCTCGAAACGTCAGCCTTCCTGCTCCTCTGATGCTGCTTGGCCTGCTGTGTTCATCCAGCTCTACACCTTGTTATCCCTGACAAATATGCCCTTAGTTGTACCTGAATATGAGGAAATTAAAGCATATCGCCCCGATAGGTGCTGGATTAATGCAGTGTCTAAATTTGAATGATCTTATTTTTGAAGATAGAAAATCTGCAAGGTACAAAAACCGAATAACTCACGAACATTGCTGACGGAGAACTCTGAGAAAGGTTTGTGAGGTTCAGTGAATTAAGCGGGTGTTGAAACTCGGGGTATCGCTCACAGAAAAAATCACTAAGAACGCGAGTCAGAAACGATTCCACTCACGTTAGCCGATCTCCCCTTCATTCTCGTGGATTTTTCAGTATCGGTATTTCAGTCCTTTTTATTTGTACGAATGAATCACATTTGCCACAACATAATGGTAATGTTTGACAAGTGTTCATTTACAAGGACATCTACGCTCACGGTGAACAATAAATGGATCCAAGTTTGATCGATTAAACAATTTTGACAGTGAGTGAAGGCCAACGTGGCTGGTACTGAACTGATATTAAACCCTCTAACACAAAATCACCAAATGTAAAAAGTTCAACTTGTCTGAAGTGTTTAAAATAAATACAGTTGCACTGAAATGCACTGAAAATCAACTCCAAACGCTTGCTTTTACTTGGTGTGATTAATGTTTCTTTGCATTTCAACGTTAAGGCGATGCTAGAACTGCCTCAGCATAGGCACACAAAGGGAAATGATCAGATTGTTATTCTCCTTGACGATTACATAGTCCGATGCCCCTGCCCACTTATAGAATCTCTACAGTGCCAAAAGAGGCCATTCGGCCCATCTTGTTCCTCCAAAGAGCGTCCCGCATTTCCTACGGCTAATCCGCCTACCCTGCACACTAGGGGCAATTTAATGTGGCCAATCCACCTAACCCACACATCTTTCGTGTGGGAGGCAACGGGAGCACCCGGCGGAAATACACACAGTCAACGAAGATTAGAATCTGGCGCCGTGAGCCAGCAATACTAACAAGTGAGCCACCCCAACTTTAGGCCGCCAGAAGGACACAAACTCCCTCTCCCGGATTCTGGTCAAAACCATAGAGGCAGGCAGCCAGAGTGGATATTTCCACCGGCCGATGGGAAGTGCCTTTGTCGAGCATGGATTTAGGATGTTACCGTCATGTTCATGATAGCTGACAAAGGGACTGAGTTTACATGAGCAGTGCGAGTTACTGACCCAAAGATATTTGCCGATCCAAACATTTGATCTTTTATTTCTCTTGAGAAGAGCTCGCTACTCGAACAATGTACATAACATTCCCCTTAATTAACTGTCTTTCCCACTTTTAACGGTTCTGAACGTTATGCCGTAGAGGAAAGATTTTGTCAACAAAATTCATTGCCTCGCGAGTCTCAGGGAAATATACGAGCAGACGAAGTCAATAACTTCTAACATATATATTGCGTATGGAATCACAGAATTACGTGTGAAATAAAATTGAATACAAATTTTCTGATGAAGGGTCTAGGCTCGAAACGTCAGCCTTCCTGCTCCTAGGATGCTGCTTGGCCTGCTGTGTTCATCCAGCTCTACACCTTGTTATCTCTTGAATACAAATAAGCTGGGTTACAGTATTTTGTATTTATCCCTGGCCATCTGTCACGGGTAGAGAGAAAAATCTGTTATGTATAGCTTGAGGGCATTGCTCGGCAAAAGTGACAGGCAGGCAAGCCTCCACCTTCTGCTGCAGACAAGAAAGAGATCGAAAATTCATTGTCGGGGTCATTCTGCATCACGTTCTCCAACTCAAATCACTGACCACCCCGCTTTATCCTCTCCAAGATGTACTGCTGCGATTGTAAAACTGACGCCGTGCTACATCTGAAGTATGGTTATTATTAGTTTCAAAAAACTTCCCAGAATTTTTTTTTCGTTTCCGGGATGTGGACATCGTGGGGATTTATTAGCCAGCTCTAACTGCCCTCGAGAATGCTCTGTTTTCATTGTAGAATTGATAGAGGGCGTCAGTGCTTCTGAATCTTGTCAGCAATTTCATTACAAGTCTGCACCTGCACTATTAATTCTTGACTAAAGAGAGACCTAAAGAGATCTTAGTCATTTAAAATGATCGTTGGTTCTTGTGATTGTAAATAGAGATACTTGATGCGTTGGTCTTTATTTTCGAGATCTCGTTAGATTCTGGGAAGGTTCCTTTAAATTGGAAAGTAGCAACTGTAACTCCTTTATTCGAAAGGGGAGGGAGACAGAAAACAGGAGGCTACGGGTCAATTAATTTAATATCTGTCTAAGAAAAAACGTTAGAAGCCACCAATAAAGATTTGGATAAGTCCAAGGTTATCGGACAGAACCAACATGGTTTTGCAGAAGGGAGATCATGTTAAACTAATTTATTGGAATTCTTTAAAGAAGTTTCTTGTGCTGCAGATAAAGGGGATCTCGTAGACATATTACACTTAATTTTCCAGAAGGAACCCGATTAGGTGCCAATTAGAGTCATAGTGTCATAGAGTTGTATAGCACGGTGACAGACTCTTCGATCCAACCCGTCCATGTCAACCAGATATCCTAAATAAATCTAGTCCCATTTGCCGGCATTTGGCCCATATCCTTCTAAACACTTCCTATTCATATGCCTTTTAAATATTGTAATTGTACCAGCCTCCACCACTTCCGCTGACCACTCATTCCATAGCACCACCCACTGCGTGGAAATGTTTTCCCTTAGGGCCCTTTTAAATCTTTCCCTTCTCACCTTAAATCTATACCCTCTAGTTTTGGACTCCCTTATCCTCTGGAAGATACCTTATCTATTCACCCTATCCATGCCCCTTATGATTTTATAAACCTCGATAAGGTCACCCCTCAGCCTCTGACGCTCCAGGAAAAATAGCCTCAGCCTATTTAGCCTCTTCCTATAGTTCAAACCCTCCATCCCTGGCAATATCCTTGTAAATCTTTTCTGAACCGTTTCAAGTTGCACAACATCTCTCCTATAGCAGAGTACTCGAAGCGAACGTAATACTCCACAAGTGGCCTAACCAATGTCCTGTACAGCCGCAACATGACCTTCTAACTCCGAAAGTCAATGCACTAACCAATAAAGGCAAGCATACCAAACGCCTTCTTCTCTACCCTGTCTACCTGCAACTCCACTTTGTAGGAACTAAGAACATGCACTCCAAGGTCTCTGTGTTCGGCAATACTCTCCAGGGCCTTACCATTAAGTGTATAAGTTGGGGGGAAGATATTGGCATGGACATAAGATTCGTTAGCTAACAGGAAGCCGAAAGTAGGAATGAAAGAATCTTTTTTAAGCTGGCGGGTTGTCACGAATGGTACACCAGAGGGGTCGGAGTTGAGGTCTCAACTCTTTTAATGTATATAAATAATTCAGATGAAGGAATTCAAGGTATGGTAGCTAAATTTGATGACGACATGGCTCAGGGTTAGATATGGAAGTGAGTTATCAAGAAGACATAAGGAGCTACAAAAAGACATGGATACATTAATGAGTGGACAAAGACCTGGCAATTTGAATATGATGTGAGAAAGTGTTAAATTGACCATTTTGACACAAAAAAGGCAAAATACGTACATTACCTAAATAGCGAGAGCTTGAAGAGCTCTGATAAGCAGGCAGATCTGGGTGTCATTGTGCATGAATCACAAAAGGTTCATATGCAGGTATAACAATTAATCAGAAAAGCTAACAGAATGTTACGTTTGATTGTGAGGGAAAATGAATGCAAAATTAGGGATGTTATGCTTCAGTTTTAAAGGACATTAGTGAACCACTTTTTTTTTAACAACAATCCCAAAGCTTCATGATCTTTGTTGCTGATTTTATTACCATTTACAATTATAAATTAAACTTCCCTAGATCCTTGGTCTAGGTCTCCGCGTTACTATACAGAACGCTAGTATCCATAAGGGATTAACAAATTGATGTGGTTTCCTTCACATCAGACATTAACGGTATAGATGAAGTCTTTGCAGGAGTCAACTGGAATATTTTGAGCAGTCTTTGGCATTTCTGCTGTATTTTCAAGTGGTGCTCGTTAGAACATAGACTACTAAATCGGTGATCCCTGCCTCCCTGAGAGTAAAACAGGGGAAAAGAATCAAATGAGTTTGAAATATATTTTATTGTCAAAGTTGCAAAATTGTGAAGTAAGATTACAAGATGAACGTATAACGAAGACAGCAATTTAGCTGTAGCGAAAAATTCGTGAAGTGCAACATTGGAAACATCAAACAGTACTTCTGCAAAAACATCACATTAACTTGATTAACAAGTAGAGTGAATCATCCGAAAGCTCTGATCATTATCCACATACACAAGCTTGAAAATAAAACCCTGCCCGGATATATTTACATGACAGCTGTAAGCTGTTCACAAACTGATAGTGCAAACTACAATCTCTGGGTATAAACAGGAAATCCAAGCAAAAGCCAAAGCCAAATTATCAGAATTTTAAAATAGGAGGTTGTTGATACCAGTTTAAAGTGGCTTCTTCACGTCACGGTGCTCCAGCCTGTACAGGATGGAGATAATACCACAATAGACCACACTCTTCACCAACAACAGTGTGTATGTAAAAGTCGCTAACTTCAGTGAACTCAGAGGCTGACCTGAGAAATGAAGAAACACAAAATACGGCATTTATGCACAATGCGGCTTTGTAATAACGGAGGTCATACTGAATGTGAAGTGAATCATCTGAAAAAAAAATGAATAATGGGCAATGAACTCCGCCTGTAAACTACAGCGGGTGAAAAACTGATCTGGTAGATTTCACAAAGTACCTGTAGTGATTGAGTGAGCTATCGCTGTTCGTAATTCGATTGAGTATTGTCATAAACCCATACTTAAAATGGACTGTCAGATTATAGTACCAGTCTTAATAATTTCGCTCATGAAATCATGGAAAGAAAGCTGCTTCCTGTTTATTTGGAATTAATAAATTCCAGTTTTGGTAGATTTCTATAAACCAGAGAGCAATCTCACTTAAATAGGGATAAAACATTAGGTTGTACAGCAAGAAATTCTCACCCGAAAAGACGAAAAGCTTTCAATATTTGGAGGAAGACAAATTGCACCTCAAATACATGCAATAGGTAGAAAACTCCTGAGTTCCGCCAAGATGGTGCTGGAGTTTACTAAGTCTAAACTCAGATGAAGGCAATTCGGCCCAACAGTTCCATCCTCGCGTTTATGCTCCCAAACCCTATCTTCGACTCAGCTCAATATATCCCTCTTTTCTCGTTCACGTGCTTGTCTAGATTCCCCTTATCTGTATCGATACCAGTCCTCGAAATGATGCCATTCAATTTATTCCTTTGCCTTCTAACTACCCTCTCGATAATTTAATTTTGAGATCCCTCCAAGAATTATTAGTGACAAACTCATATTATGTTTTCTAGTTTTGTTTCTTTTAGCAAATGGAAGCTTTTCATCTACCCATAAAATAATTTTATAATTTTAAAGACATACATTTGTTTGTCCCTCAGCTCTCTCTTTCACAGGAAAGTTGATCAGCCTGTTTATTTTTCTTGGTTAGGTATAACTTCTCAGTTCTGGTAGCCTAGTAAATCATATCTCCAGTGCGTCTTGGTAAATTATAATTTAGAGAGCAGCGCCAATCATAGTAAGTCCAAATGGAGTCAAATCAAGTTTCTCCACGTATTTACATAAAACTTTTCTCCTATTGAATCATATCCTACTGGAAGAGAACTCCCTTTTTTATAACCTTTCTAATCTCCATAATTACATTTAATGATTTGTGTATCTGCATCCCAGCTCAATCTGTTCCTCTAGATCATTTACAAGTGTACTCTCCAAAGGTAATGTTGCCTCATTATTCTTTCTATCAAACTGTACTATCCACACACCTATCGAGATGAGAAATTAATTCTTAAAAACATGCTCATTTTAGGAATTTAAAGACGTCTTCCTGTAATTTATTACTGGATTCCTGTCTTTTAACTAAACTCCAGGACGCTCAATTTGCCATTTAAAAATGTTGAAATTATTCGTCCAATTCGTGAGTCCAAATCATTTGTGTAGATACTGAACAAAATGTCCCCAGCATAAACCCTTGCCCAACATCTTCTCAGCATTTTTCCCGTCTGATTAACCACTTTCAAGGCTTCCTTTTTTGTAGGGACCTAGCTCTGCACTGTCCCCAGATCCCGCACTTTCACTATTCATGAGTCCATTAGCCAGTGCCTTATCGAGGTCCTCTTGAAAATCTAAATGTAGTTTTCTACGGTATTACACTTGCCTACTCGTCCTGCTGCTTCTTCTTGAAGTAATTTAGTAAGGTCGGTCACAACCCCTTTATTGAAATCTGTACTGGCTAATCGTTTCCATTCTCTAGGTTTTTTGAATGATATCTTTTGGAGAAGATGTTTGGGTGTCCATTTGAAAGGTTGTAACCAACAGAACTATTGGCCAAACCTGGAATTAAGTGGAATTAAATGGAAATGAGCTGATGCAGACGCAACTGACAACTTTCTATTTCCAGATTTAATGTATTTCCATTATTTTTCTTACGATTGACATTGATCTTATATTTCCCAATAACCTGTTTGTTCTTTTTTTATATTTTCGAAAAGGCATTAATTGTCGACCTCTCCTCTTTCACATTAATTTTGCGATTTTCTACAATTAATAAGAAGCCTCTCCCAACTTTTCCCTAACTTTTCATAAAAGGCGCGGATGCAATCCATCCGGATCCGAAACAATTTGAATTTGTATCGTGATTCTTTTTTATCTCAAGATGCTTCATCTTGTCAAAGCTAATCAATCGAAATATGACACCGAGCCCCGTAAGGATCTTTTAGGTAATGACCAAAATCTTGGACAAAAATGGTTTAACACAAAAGCTAAAGGAGAAGGGAGAGGTAGAGCTGTAGAGAGGATTAGGAAGGATATATCTGGGCATGCTCTCTATGTTTGATCGCTTCTTTGCTATTTTTAAATGCTTGTACATCTTTTCGATCTCTCATTTTAATGGCATGTGTGTGCCATGTTACTTTCTCTGGGCGAAGGAGTTATTTAATATTTCTGCCACTTTGGTGTCGTTATTGAAATATCTCTGTATCCCTTAGTGGTCCTGCAGCTATCACAATTATTTCCCTTTGCTATTTATATCTGTATAGAATGTTATTTTTTATACAAATAAGTAGTCCTCTGTCAGTTAATTTCATATAAACTCTCTTTGCCTTCCTTTTTTGTGAAGATATTTCCTAACTTTTTTATATTTGTTATCCTTTGTTTTGTTGTATACATTTCTCATTAGTTTGATTTCTCTCTATATCTTCATGGTCTGTTATTACTGTCTAGTTCGACTTTTGCTTTTCAGCGGAATCTATTTCTCTTGGGCTCTATTCATCAGTCTTTTGAAAGTTTCCCGTTGCTGTTCTAGTTCTTCCTTAGTCGGTGTTGTTCTTTTCCCCAGTTTACTTTCCTAGGTACCATTCTCATTGTTTTGAGACCAGCTTTCCCAATGTGTTACTTTGCTCAGTTCATTTGTTTTTCTAAACCTTTCTCTGGCCGAGCAATCCGCCAGTGAGAATGGTCTGGATTTGGTGTGGGTGAGACCCCGGTAAGGACAGCAGACTGCCTTCCCTGAAGAACAATACCGGATCAGTTATGGTTTTCTAACAATGTTAGGAGCGTTCCTGCCCATTGTGCGGGTGTCGACCCAGCGAACGCCAGCTACGCTGAGTCCAGCTTCACGACCTATGCTCCGAGTTAATTGCCTCAACAGTAGAAACCTCTCCTAGACTGGCAAACCGGATCATACAGCCGCAAGAATTACCTTCATTCACGATTGTTGATATGTTCTGAACACTGGGCTGACACGTCGGGGCTGGAATATCATCAGGTTTTTGTATAGCTACAGCGAAGGAAAGAAAGACAGAACATAGATTAGAAGCAGTCCGAACATTCAGCGGTGCGTTAAATGGTGAGAGGGGATGGAAACTTGAATCAGGCAGTCTACACATTTGGAAACTGCCGGTTATGGCCCTGAGTAAACGACGCGTGCTTGTGGAAGTTCGGAATCTCTTAGACCGAGGAGGTCGACTCCATAAGGAATTCGAAACGTTAACATAATTTTCCGCAGTTAAGACATTGGGTATAACGCTTTCGCTTTTTTCTTTCAATAAACGTTTCAGTTCTCCGTCCTTACCGGAGGATCAGTATTTCACTATAATCTGGAATGGGCAACTGTGAATTGAATAATGGTCATGTTGCTCCGGTTTCACACCATCAAACTTTTATAGGTTTGATGCACGGACCTTTATTCGTCTTTCGGTGTTGCATGAAACAGTGCCGCCTTTGTGCTATTCCGCCCGGAGTTGCAGCGGATCTTCCAACGAAGTTCCGCCGTCGTTCGGGAGAACCCGCGAGGTTTCAAAAGTTTATTTTTTCCCCTTATTCTAGTGACAATTTATCAAATTTACAGATTTCAAAACTGATCGTTATGAATCCGGCGTATTTCACAAGTGGGGCATTGGCGCGGATGGAATACCGTATTGCAATAAAAGTCACATTTGCAATGTAAATGCTGGGAAGATATTGCATTCCGTGTCAGAAATTGTCCTAAATAGGTCCCTGCTAGAACAACATTTGTCCTAACCGATTTCAAGGACAGAACCTGCTCTTGGTTCCCTAACAGAAGCTGAATAGAAAATCGTTAGATTCGGTTTAGAATCGCTACTGTTTAATTATTTTAGGAACTCTAAATTGCGGGCGAGTTAATAAACGTCTGAGAAAACGCGTCTAAAGGGCAGGGGGATCTTTAATCTGATTGAACCTGCTCTATAATTTATCTACAACAACAACAAAAACAAAGTTGCTGGAAAAGCTCAGCAGCTCTGGCAGCATCTGTAGAGGAGAAAACAGAGTTAACGTTTCGGGTCCGGGTGACCCTTCCTTAGAACTGCTGAGCTTTTCCAGCAACTTTGTTTTTGTTCCTGATTTACAGCATTCGCAGTCCTTTTGGTTTTTATTCTATAATTTATCTATATGGTTATATGATGAATTATTGTGTCAGGCAAATACTGAACGCTGTTTCTAAAACAAAATGCAGTAACTTAAAGTGAAAGTGTCAAAAAGAACATTTTAATGAGATGGAGATTGATGCAAAATGTTCCCTGAACCCGCTTGTGCTAAGAAGTCAAAGATAAGAGAGGACAAAGGAATCAATGGGAACAGTACCTATTCTGGAGTCCTTGTTAATCATGGCTCCTCCTGGATTTGTTTCATGCTCCGCCTTGCAGTGAATGTCTTTGCTATTCCAGTCCAACTTAGTGATTGTCAGGCGACTGATCACTGAGTAATTGCCGTTTTCCTTCGCTGCGTCTGTTAACACGTCGTCATCGGGTGCCTTTTTATCCCCGATAGTCCATTGAACCCTAATGACTCCGGGGAAGAAATCAGTCAGGAGACAGACGACGGGCGCTCTGTTATCCTTTTCCAGATCAGTGATGTTCGGAGGGAAAATTTGAATTTTTGGTGTACTAACACTTTTGCCTGATTTTAACAAAAAAAGAATGTCTGTAAACTTCTACGTTAAGGACAAACAAATTTACAATACACAACTGTCTGCAGGTGGAGTAAATATGGGGAAATATCTTCCAGTGTCAGGCAAGCATGGGTACATATGTAAGTGTACAAACCATAAGATCGTAAGATTTAAGAACAGGAGTAGGCCGTTCGGCCCCTCGAGTCTGCTCAGCATTCAATGGGATCATGGCTGTTCCGATATTCCTCGCGTCCGATTTCCTGCCCTTTACCTGTAATCCTTGATTCCCCTACTCATCAAGAATCTGTCTATCTTATATGTGGCTAGGAGTCCGAAAAACTCATAACTCTCTGACAGAAAAAATTCTTCCTCATCTGAGTCTTAAATTGGGGCCCTTTCATTCTGAGACTATGCCCTCTGGTCCAAAAAACCTCCCATGAGGGGAAACATTCTCTCATATTTATCCTGGCAAGCCCCTTAAGAATCCTAAATTTTTCAATGAGATCACTTCTCGTTTTTTCTAAACTCCAATGAGTAGAATCCCAACCTGGTTAGCCTTTGTTCAAAGTTGGGCAGCGAGTTGTGATCTGGAATGCCCTGTCTGTAAAAGATGCGGAAACCATTTCAAATTTTGAAAAGTGGAAAGACATAAAGCTATGGCGGGAGAGCAGAGGAGAAGCGCCAACTGGAAAGGCGTGGCACATTCACGATAGACCTAATATCTTCCTTCTCTAATGTATCTTTGTAAAATTTTACCCTGCCTTCCAAATCTCTTAACACTTTTGCTCCCCTGGCCACTTTCTTTGATTCTAAACTAATGAAAAGGAAGTCGCTCTTTTCCTTTCTTTAGGGATTCCTCCGGGACCAGAGTAATTGAGTTGAAACGATCAATGAATGATCAGGAACTTTTAAAAGTGCATTGACCCGCGGTAATGTTGAAGTTGAACATGAACTAAATGATGGTCTTTTCTCGTTCTGACTGAAAGGCAATGAACGGACCATATTTCCGGCCTTTTGGGGCTCCGATCCCACATGTCGCCTCTCTGTCCCCCTCACCGGCGCGGACAGTCCAGCACCGAACAGATCGCCTACCCTTCCCCCAGTCCTCCCGCGTCCAGACCTACCCAGTTTCCCATGCTTTATGCCTACATCATCAACTGCCAAGATGTTATACACAGCCACTAGCTCCTAAAGTACAGATTTGTGGACATTGTAAACAGTTTGGGACATTAATCATGTTCTTAACGCTGCTCTAAAATAACTAAAGTACTTTCACCCTGAAAGTCGAAATTTTATGTAAATCCATTATATATAAAGGCAAACTATGGTGAATGCTGGAATTTCAAACGAACGCAGAGAATGCAGGAGGAACTCAGCTTGCTTTGTGTATCATAAATTCACTGCTTATTCCGTTATGTTGGACATTGCCCAGAGCTGCTATTGTGTGAGAGCAGTGAACGATTTGAACTGGAAACTAAGTTCCTCGTTCATTTTCGGGTCCCACTGTAACTTCCCGGTTTCTACAAGTTCCATTCCCAACAAATTAAAGCATCTGATCGCCCATAAAGCGATGCTAAACGTTGTTTTTCGTGTCTCCCTGAAGCAGAATGTGAATTGTTCCCGTGTATTGTTAAATGCCGGATTTGAAGACTCGCAGGTGGTCTCCGGTTAAGTCCCAGCGCCGAAAGCGGAAGATTTTCTTTATCACTTTGCATAAATTGCAGGGCATACGGCTGCAGGGGAACATGACCCGGGATGAGCAACAAAATAAGACTCACCCGTTACAACGAGCCTGGTCCCAGTGCCGAACTGCAAAATTGCACCGACCACAGCGGCAGAGGACTGTACAAAATCTTCAGCGGTGAGTATTACTGACGCTTTTAAGGATTACTGTCTCAGTACACTTACTGTGTCTCTGTGCTCTTACCATCTGTATTAGTATTATTGACTCTATGAATTGTTACTGTTACTACTCATTACCACTGCTTTATCCAACGGAACGTTAGATGTTTCCCCCATTAAACATCACAGAATTTTCAGAGTTACTAGTAATGGGGAAATTCTGCAAACACAGTTTAAGTGGTGGATCCAGATTATCGCGGTACTTGGATACCAACCTATCGTTACCCCAGACAGGCTGGGATCTTGCTGGTGATAGCCATCTTGGTCACGATACCCGTACTGTACAGTCCCCGTGTTACGGGATGATCAGTTTTAATATTGGCAGCGTGAGGTACCCGGGATCATGCACTCAGCGCCTCTGACTCCGTTAAAAAGCTCGAGTCGAGAACACGTCAAGCGGCCTTTGACCCAAGTTCCCGAGACTTTCCTGGTATGAACCCGGAGCGAGCCCCGCTGCGCGATGACTCTTTAACCGCTGCTGGAGTGACTAACACTATCCACTCACCTGTAACTAGCAGTTTAGTCCCAGCTCCGAAGACCTTTACCCTCTGACCACTGTGACATACATCTGTACAAAAACCTCACCACCGCCTGTATCCTGACACTGACATATTTCGGCAAACACTGGGAACAAGGGATTTGATGCCAGTCTCCTCCATTAAGTTTGGAAACACGAGGAACTGGCACCGTGGCCAGTCAAACTCCCAGCAAATATTGTACAGACTGACCGCCACACCAGACGTTATTTTTGTAAATAAATCTCTCCGAAACCCATTGAACACATCACCGCGCTCAAACCTCTTACCAGATACTATGAGCCGAGTCCCAGAGCCGAATATTTTTCTCCATGCACCAAAGATGGCACTGTGTTATATCACTTTACAATAACCAATTCATTTGCACAGCCTCCCTCCCGAAGGAACCAAACCTGAATCGGCCCGCTCCTCTGAAAGCCAGTCTAGTCCCGATGCCCAATTCTCCAGGCATTCACCCGGAGTTCCGGTCCTTGCACAATCTCTAATAACCCGGTTACTCGGCATATCTCCGCTGTTACTGCAATAGACATCGCTCTTTGCACCGAATTCTCACCTGTGACAAAGAGTTTAGTTCCAGCGCCGAAGATTTTTATGACAGCACCCCTGTCCACTGTGTCACACTCCCTGACAATAACCTACCACTCGCTCTGCTTCGTCACCAGCGGCGTTTCCAGCTCTTAGTTGACTGTACCGTTTTACAGTAACCACACGACAGTTACTGCCCAAGCGTGTTAACACAGTGCCAAACAGCTTGTCCACCTCAACTGATGTAGTTTCAGTGATACGGCCAATCCGGATTCAGAAAGACTGAATCTGACCTGGTCTTCCCCAGACCCAGCTCTCACTGAACGCATTTTCAGGGCTTGGAACCCCTCAGTCTCACACTTGCATCAATTCCAATGTCACACTAAGTAACCGGCTGATGTTCTACCCATGCCCACATCTGGTACACAGAATTTCGGGGGTGAGGTGTGAGGGGTAGGGAAAGGGTGAGGTGGGGAGTGCAGGATTTGTAATTGAGTGACGGTTAGTATTGGGGTCATGTTGAGAATCAAGTTTAGAGTTAGTCTGATGAACAGGTTTCTTCTTTTATTGCAAAAATGTATTTTACTCACAAAAAAACTTTATATATAACTATGTACAAAGTGTTCTCAATCCTTTCCATGGAGTCTTTGCAGAGAGAAAAAGGAAAAACAGGGGTCATATTGGCATTTGACATCCCACAGAGCTACCAGTTAGTCGCAAAAACTAAGGCATTTTTACCTCATACAGGAAAAAAGATTTCCATATATTTTGAGGCAATGGGAGTCTGAGAACTGAATAGACCCTTGTTATATTTTGGCAGAAAGATCTTAAACAGCAGTCTTTCCCCTTGGCAGTAGCTGTCCTAAGCTGTGGTGCATCACCCTGCACATAGTCCTGGACCTTGGAATGTGCCAGTCTGCAGCACTCAGTCCAGGCCAATTCCTGCACTGGAAGACCATCAAGTTTTGGGCAGACCAAAGAGCATCTTTCACTGAGTTGACTGTCCTCCAGGAGTAGTTGATGCTTGTCCCTGTGTGCATCCTGGGAAGCAGCCCGTCGAGCACAGAGTCCTTTGTCACGGATCTGTTCAGGACCAACCTCGACAAAAACTGTTGCATGTCTCTCCAGACCTTCTTTGCAAAGGCACATTCCCAAAGGAGGTGTGTCACAGTCTCTATTCCCTCCCCCAGCCACTTTGAGGGCAGTGTGTGGTGGCCGAGAGAGTGATGAAGGATTTGACAGGCAGTGCCATTCTCACTACCAGCCAAGCGACATCGTGGTGCTTGTTGGAAAGTTCTGGTAATGAGTAATTCTGGCAAATAACTTTTACAGTCTGCTCAAGGTTAAGGCAAGAGTGAGGACATGTTCTTTGCAAGCTGGGTTGATCGATCCTTTATCCCTTCACTGTCAGAATAGATTATCTGAAGTCAGCTGCTTACCTAATTGGTCCGTGTCGGGTGAAGAAAAGTTATGGGGAGCACTGCTGTATCTCATATCCAATATCTGAGTAATGCAAGCCAATTAAGTGTCCGAAAATAAATCACAACCACAGAAGTGACATTTCAGGCCTTATGCTTGAAAGTATACAGCAACATTCTAAATGATCCAGAAGCGCAGATCCAGAGGTTGACCTGCAGTGTGACCAGTGGCAGAGTAGCATAATGAACTAGAATGTGAAGCTGTAATGACATGTGTTTAACATGGGCCATGTAAAAGGAAATGAAAAATGTTTTCCATCTGGAATGGGAAGATAACTTTCTGTTCACAACTGATAAAAAAAGGAAAATTCGCTTTCTAGGTCACCAAAGGAAATCGCTAAGTAAAAAGGAAAATTTTGGAATGACACACAATAATGATGCACAGTGATTCAAGGATAAATGTCTGTTGAACAATATGCTTCAGACAAAGAAAGTTGATGAACTGAAGGTGATTCTGTAAGGTGAACTGTTATTTTTTTTTCAAACCAGCCATAAAAGATAAGGCTAGCACTGAAGCACTGAGGCAACATTTTGTACTTCCTATTTTCTGGCAAAACAGAGGAAATCATTACAGATGACAGAGTAGCCAAAGAAACAATGACTGTGGGCACTAATTCTTTATTCAAGGACTTTAAGAACAAAGAAGAAATAATGATGGCACCAGAACTTGTCACCTGATGATTTCACAGTAGCAAGAGGAGTGGAATCTTTGTCTGAAGACATCTTTCAGCAACAACAGCAGGACCTGAAGGACTGTGAACGCTTCTCATTGCAATTTGATGAATCCATCAACACAACTGACTCGGCCCAGCTGATTGTTATTATGTGCATAGTTTTTAAGGATAGGACAACTAAAGAAGATCTTCTCAGTCTTGTGCCCCTTAAAAAGAGGTTAACTGTTCGGGTATATGGAAGGAATTCAAAAGGTGTGTTCTTGAGAAAAAAATTCCAATCAAGAAATTGGTTTCTTTCACAACTGATGGTGCACCAGCCATGTTTGACACAAATTTGGACTTTGTTGCAAAAACAAAGTTGCTGGAAAAGCTCAGCAGGTCCGGCAGCATCCGTGGAGGAGAAAACAGAGTTAACGTTTCAGGTCCAGTGACCCTTCCTCAGAATAGACTTTGTTGCATTTTGCAGAAATGGTCGTGATTACTCCTCTTTTGTTATTTACCACGGTATAACCCATCACAATATTAAACAGTAGAGTTACGGACTTTTTGGGTATAATGAAATGTGTCGTGAAGATTGTAAAGTGGATTTGAGCAAGACCCCTGCAGCACCTTTTGTTGATATTCTTACTCGACAAACTTGATGCCGCCTACTCTTAATCAATACTCCTTGCTGATATGAACTGATTGAGTTGAACAAAGTTCCTACAAAAATTTTTAGGTCTGATGCCTGAAATCATCACTTTTCTTAAATCAAGGAATGAAAAGCACGACGACCTGTGAGACAGTGCACAGTTGTTCAACATTAGGTTCCTTACAGACAAAACATCTAAATATATCAAGCTGAACTGTGAATGGCAGGGAAGGGATAGAAACTTAGCACGTATAAGCAGTGCTGAAAATGCATTCAAATTTAAACTGGGTCTATGGTCCTCCCAATTGAAAAATAAAATGCTGCAACCTTTCCTGAGTCTGGAGAAGATGCTAGAAAAAAATCAAAGACTAAAAAATTACATCAATAATAACAGCACAAAGCAGGTTTTGGGGCTTGAATTAAATTAATAATTTAATGATGTATCAACTAAATTCTAATAGAGAGAACTGAGATTTCTTACATCATGCGTGTGCAGTTTAATCCAGTTGCTTATAATTCCTGTGATTGTGGGAACATCCAACTTTAGGATAGTAGAAAAAGGTGTTACCTAAGTTTCAGAGCTGCTGTTACTGCCTTTTTGATACCTCTTTAACGTGGAGATAGGAATACACAGCAACTTATCAAAATTTGCCAACGATAGCGTCTTTGGATATATGACAGAAAGGAGGTGGAATAATCAAAATATTGTGAGGTGGAATTTAATATGGTGAATGCAGAGAAGTGTGAATCTTGGCAGAGGGGTTAGCAAGAGACCAATTAGACATAAAGGCACCACTTTAAAGGGTTTACAGAAACAGAGGGGCTTGGCCTTTATCTTTGAATCATAGATCTTTGAAGATTTCAGGACATACTGACAGAATAATTAGCAAAGCAACAGTGGACTGGTTGAGTACAGTTGGTACCAAGCCTGTTGTGAACAGCCAATGGAATATTTTGATTGATATGATCCACCAATCTTTGAGATGTCTGGCATAAATACCTTGAATCACACACAAATAGCTGTTTCCATTAGCTGATTGTGAAAGAACTTGGAGCCACAGATTTAAAGTTTTAGGCAAGAAATGCAGGGTAGCTATAAAGAAGAACCTTTTTATATAACAAATGACAAAACTTTAGAACACATCATGGAACTGTAAATGATCAATATATCAAAAGGGAATTGTTATGAACCAGACTAGGCAGCCTTAAACTTTTTAAGGATTTAGCCTAGACCCTAACTTTTTCTTATTCCAAAGGCAACTGTAAAGTGTCTTTTCCAGATGCAAGGCGACTGCTCAAACTACTCGATGTTATGCAAAACACAATTTATTTAAACACTATGGTTAAAATATAACCAAAGAAAGAGGAATTTGGAATAACAACTCTATCAGAAACTTAACAGAATAATAGACACAGTAACTATCACTAATCAACAGTTCAATATAGTAACATTCTATAAACACACCCCTTTGCAATAAAGGAAAATCCAGACTTAGATTCTCACATGCAGTTCTCCAGAAAGAAAAAAAAATCAAGAGAAAATTCAGAGAGAGTAGCAGCCAGGAGACATTCGCTGAAGCTTTCAGCTCTTTCGAGATCCCGATAGCTTCTGATGCTACTCAGAAATCTTGATCAGATAGAGCTCGCCACACACATTCAGGTTTCCAAGGCCTCCTAAGTTGTTTGCACAAGCGGTCTTGAGTAACTAGCTCATCACTTCTGCCTTACAACCTCTCTTCAAAACAAAAAACAAAATAACTTCTTAAAGTGACAGCATTGTCGGAGAACTTAATGGACATTTCAGCAAAGTAAATTTGTGAGATAGCTCTATATAGAATCCTAATGGAGTTGATGTGTTGAATGGTCTCATCTTATCCCTTAATGGTTCTTTGACTATTGTAAATGAAACGTTTTCTTCGAATTGCATTTACTTTCCCTGTTGATACTAAGCTTGATAATTGAATGATTGTTTTCCAAACTCAGGCCATTAAGCTGCTTCTCCTGACGATACCTGACACATTAGAAAGCTTTGCTTGCCTTTTAATGCAAATCCTACTATTTATATTTTGCAGCAACCTTCACCACCATTTCTCAATAACCACATGAAACTAAATACTTTTACTCAGTTTATTACTCTTACAACTTGATCCCTGACTACCCTTTCTCCTTGGCCCCATGCATTTAAACATCAAAAGTCCCTCTAAGCCTTCTCAGCTTCTTTGTGTCCAAATGTCCTGCACGTATAATAGGTATCTTTAAAATTTATTGAGGATATCTGGTCCAGTGGTGAAGTGGTGGATAATGGG